AGGCTGAGGCTGAGGCAGGCTGAGGCTGAGGCTGAAGCAGGCTGATGCTGAGGCAGGCTGAGGCTGAGGCTGAGGCTGAAGCAGGCAGAGGCTGAGGCAGGCTGAGGCTGAGGCCGAGGCTGAAGGCAGACTGAGGCTGAGGCTGAAGCAGGCTGAGGCTGAGGCTGAGGCAGGCTGAGGCTGAGGCTGAGGCAGGCTGATGCTGAGGCAGGCCGAGGCTGAGGCTGAGGCTGATGCAGGCTGAGGCTGAGGCAGGCTGAGGCCGAGGCCGAGTCTGAAGGAAGACTGAGGCTGAGGCTGAAGCAGGCTGAGGCTGAGGCTGAGGCAGGCTGAGGCTGAGGCTGAGGCAGGCTGAGGGTGAGGCTGAGGCTGATGCAGGCTGAGGCTGAGGCAGGCTGAGGCTGAGGCCGAGGCTGAAGGCAGACTGAGGCTGAGGCTGAAGCAGGCTGAGGCTGAGGCTGAGGCAGGCTGAGGCTGAGGCTGAGGCAGGCTGATGCTGAGGCAGGCTGAGGCTGAGGCTGAGGCTGATGCAGGCTGAGGCTGAGGCAGGCTGAGGCTGAGGCCGAGGCTGAAGGCAGACTGAGGCTGAGGCTGAAGCAGGCTGAGGCTGAGGCAGGCAGGCTGAGGCTGAGGCTGAGGCAGGCTGAGGCAGGCTGAGGCTGAGGCTGAGGCTGAGGCAGGAGGCTGAGGCTGAAGCAGGCTGAGGCTGAGGCAGGCTGAGGCAGGCTGAGGCAGGCTGAGGCAGGCTGAGGCTGAGGCTGAGGCTGAGGCAGGCTGATGCTGAGGCAGGCTGAGGCTGAGGCTGAGGCTGAGGCAGGGTGAGGCTGAGGCAGGGTGAGGCTGAGGCCGAGGCTGAAGGCAGACTGATGCTGAGGCTGAAGCTGAGGCTGTGACTGCGACTGCCGTTGCCACTGCGACTGTCATCGCGAATGCGACTACGACTGCGAGAACAGCAGATTTCTACAACTGGATTCTCATCTGAATCTTAAGGGGAATGCTTCCAGATATGCTCCTACACATCGCTGTTAGGCTGCTTTGCCGGGATAATTTTTTATTTTTGACCCAAACCCCCTGTAGGGGGACAGGCCCGACCTAACCCTACCCCTGCCCCCTACGATCTCTGAAGGGGGGGCTCACTTCGTTCGGGAGCTCCTGAGCGAAGTGCACCCCACCGTCCCCCGCAGAAATCGTGGGGGGCGGGGAGGCCGTCGGACTCGACCGGACGGGACGCGCGAGAGGACACGGGACCCTCCCGAGGGCCACACTGCCACGGGAATGCAGGAAGCAGGGGCGACAGGAGCGCGGTCGTTGCCCGGCACCCGCCTGCGCTGCGGGGCCCCTTCTGCGCTCTCACCGCCGGGGCCGCGCGCGTGGCCCGTTCTCCTCGCCGCCCCTCTCGCCATCCCCGTCCTGCTTCGGGAATCTCCTGACCCGGGTCAACTCAGACCCGGGTCAGTCAGGCCTTGCAGAATCCTGCACGACCCTGCACGCAAACCCGGGTCAATGCGGAGGGTTCTGCAGGATCCTGCAGGATTCTGCAGGATCCTGCGCCCAAGCCCGGGTCGGTGCGACCCTGGCCCTGCAGGATCCTGCAAGATCCGGCGCTCTGGCTGACCCCCGTTTGCACTGACCCCCGTCCCTTGAGCCCCGACTGCTGCTCCTGATGTTACTGCCGGGCCTGGGCTGGATCGAGTCACCAAGTCGGATCGGGCCGGAAGAGGGTCGGACCGCCAGCGAACCGTCCCGAATCGACTCGACATCGGATCACCGCGCCTGGCTCCGGCTGGCCCTGGCCAACTCCGGCAAACCGAGCCGAACCGAATCGAGTCGGAATCGCGGCCCCAGCTGGCGAATCGAATCGCATTGTATCAGATCGTAGGCGGCCCTGACTGCTCGGTCGTTGCTGCTGCTGCCATAATAATGCCCTAGAAAAACAGACAACGGCAAAAAACGTTAATTTTCGGAGGGTTGTGCGGATTTTTTGGCTCTGCGCTGGATCCCCCGCGTGCCAGGCGTCAGAGGCACCGCCAAGGGGCCCAGCGCAGATCCAAGAAATCCGCGCGGATCGCTGAAAGTTGATGTTCATGCCGTTGTCTGCTTTACGGGGCGCGAAAACGACCACAGTCACTGCTTTTCTTTTGTTGCCGCCTTCCAGCCCGCAGAAACAAAGCAGTGGCTGTGGTCATTTTCGTTGAGCTTGGCACCAGGGAAATGACCACAACCACTGCTTCTTTTTCGGCCAGCTAGAAGGCGGCGCAAACGAGAAGCAGTGGCTGTGGTCATTTTCCCGTCCCGCGTGCTTCTCGATGCCCCACTGTGGCTGCTGGCCCCCCCCCGGGTGCACAGCGACGCCAGCCCGCAGCCGCTGCCAGGGGCGACCCTTCAGCCAGGCCGCGCCCGCGCAACCGCCGCGGCCTCGGTGCGTGTAAGTGTGAAGGGGCCCTGGGACACACAAATACATAGACAGAAATACCAGGATTCCCCTATATATTTTCCCACTCTTTCTGGCTTCTGCCTCCCCCCCCACTTCCCACACTTTCCCACACTTCCTGGGGAATCGACGATTCATGGTGTCTGTGTGTGTGTGTTTCTGTCCCTCCTGAAAGTGTGCCCCCGCTCCTTGCCTCCTCTCAGGGGGACGTAAGACCTGGGTACAAGGGACTCGGAAATCCCCGACGAGGTCGTCAAAAAAATGACGAGGCCGAGCCTGCATTTTGACGAGGCCTCCCGCTGCAGACATGCTACGAAACTCCTACTCGTCAAAATCCGAGGCGCGGTCTTCAAAAAACGATGGCGAACCCGAGTCCTGGCAAACCCGGGTCTTGCGCTCCCCCGATGAAAGTGTGCCCCCGCTCCTTGCCCTCCTCTGCGGCCGCCCTCCCTCCCCTCGCCTCCTCCTGCAGCGCGGGCTCGCTCGCGATGCCGTGGCCCTCCCTCCTCCCCTCTCCCCTCCTCCCGCCCTCCCTCCTCCCGCCCTCCCTCCTCCCCTCTCCCCTCCTCCCGCCCTGGCGCTCGCCCCTCCCGCCCTCCCTCCTCCCCTCTCCCCCTGCCGCGCGGGCTCACTCGCGATGCCGTGCCCCGGGCCTCGCCCCGACGCGCGTGCGGGCCGCCTCTGCCGCGCTGCGGCGCTCCAGCTCCTGGGTCAGAGGCGACGACAGGGGCGCATAGCTCAGGGGAGAGCACTGCGTGTACTCAGATGCGCCGATGCTCTGTGTCTTCGAAAAGGCTCCTGGGCGAATGCGTGCAATCTCCGACCCTGGGCTGTTCGCCCCTCTCGCCGCCGCCGACTCGGTGCCCACACGTCCGCTGCGGAAGAGGCCTCGCACCAGCACCCCACGGGACCAGCTCCACCTCTCCGCGCCAGGTGGGCGTGCTCGCGTGCGGTCCCCCAGCCTACGTCGGCAAGTCCCTCACACGATCGTGCCCCATGGTGACCTTGCCCATGTCCCAGGATGAAGATCATGGACAGGAGCAGGATGAGATGCGTTTCCTCGAGGTTCGGGCAAATGCCATGGCCCTTACCACGATATCGATCCACCCGCAGACATGCCCCGTGGGCCACCCCCGGCCAAGCTTATCGGTCCCGCGCGGATCTCTCGGGGTTGTGGACGAGACAGGCCACACCACGAAGGATCAGAGAAACTGTGTCGGCGGACGCGGCGCCGGCCTATTGAATTTTCAAGGAGCCAGGCTCGTCCTCCACCTTCGCTCGTCCTCCACCGTCTGCTGCGATATAATATCGCAGCAGACTGCAGACAGCCGCCATGACAACCGCGAACAAGAAGGCCTCACGCACCGTGAATACTCCACGCTTGGCGGCATGCTCCAGGCACAGTGGCATGCTGTAGCCTGGTCCAAGATCTTCCAAGGTGAGTCTCCCGAGCAGCATCACGATGGAGATCGCGAAGATACCAAAAAACATCTGCATCTGCGAATAGGCCGTGTGAAGGTTGAAAAACCCCTCGTAGGTCCCGAAATCCCACTGCGCAGAGCTCGACTGCCTCTTCGCGTGCTCCTTGAGGGGCGTGTACACGGCATTGTATACCTGAAAGGGCGCATGCACCCCCCCCCCTCGACGTCTCTCGGAGGCGACGCCCAAAAGGGAGCAATACATGCATCCGGGGGTCCCGATGATCTATGTCTTCGACAAGGCTCCCGGGCGACTGCGTGTCATGTCCGCCCCTGGGCTATTCGCCCCTATCGTCGCCGCCGAGTCTCCCCGTCTCGCCGCCGCGCTCGTGCTCCGCTTGAGGTTCGCCCATCCCTCACTGCACCGACCTCGCCGACGTGCTCCAGCGGATTTTCGCATGGATTTCTGCCAGTGCAAAACTCCGAAGCGCAAAACTCCGAAGCGGTGAGCGAAAAACGAAGTTAATGTCGCGTGGGATTTTGTTCGGTCTTCATCCCTGGCCCCCAAAAAAACGCGCGAAACTCACTTCGAAGTCTGAAACGAAATTATCCTAGACACTCCTGGCCCATCGCTTTCCAAACGAACTCCGCTCTGAGATGTTGGCGCCAGGACATCTCCTCAGACAGTCAACAGTCACCCTGGCTGTGTCCCCCCCAGCGTCGCTCCCCCTGGCGAGCGTTTTCTTATTCGGCGTTTCGACATTGGGCGGAGGGGGGGAAGGGGGGTGTCTGGCTCCAGACCCCTGCTCAACGCGACTGTCATCAGCAGTGCGCCCTCTGGGGGAGAGGCTCCGCCTGCTCGAAACAGGCGCCTAAACAGCCAAGATCTACTCCGTGGGGGGGGGTCATGAGCGGCGAGCATATCCATATCCACACCTTCGCGGCCTGGATTCCAAGGCGCGATCCCGTGGATGCGCGGCCGCATGGAGACGCTCCGCGCGGAGCATCCGGCAAACGACTTCCAGTATCCATGGGAGGTGTCTGCGGGTGTCCCAGGCAAGGCACTTCGGAGGTGTCTGCGGGCACAGGAAAGCACCAGGGCGGTGCCTGCGGGCGTCCCAGGGGAGGCGCCCGGGGGGGGGGGGTGCGGGCGCCTGGGGGGGACCGCTTGGGAGGTGCCCGCAAGCGCCTGGGACAGGAACGCGGGAGGTGCCTGCGGGCACCTGTGATGGGCACCTGGCCAAGCCCGCGAGGCCGTGGGTGTGGATATGTCCCCCTCCCACGAGGGAGGGAGGGGGGGCGGTGCGAGGGCCCGCGCCGATCGGCAAACCAAGAAAAATAAGAAAGCGGCGACCTGGAGCGCCCCTTGCCAGAAGGGCACCGAGAGACTCGGCGGCGCGCCCAGGGGGGGGGGGGAGGAGGAGGAGGAAGGAGGATAGGAGGAGGGAGGAGAGGAGGAGAGGAGGAGGAGAGGAGGAGGGGGAGGAGGAGGCGGAGGAGAGGAGGAGGAGAAGGAGGAGGGAGGATAGGAGGAGGAGGGAGGAGGAGGAGGAGAAGGAGGGAGGAGAGGAGGAGGGAGGAGGGGGAGGGAGGAGGAGGTGGAGGAGAGGAGGAGGGAGAAGGGAGAGGAGGAGGAGAGGAGAGGGAGGAGGAGGAGGAGGAGGAGGAGGAGAAAGAGGAGGAGGAGGAGGAAGGGGAGGAGGAGGAGGAGGAGGAGGATGCGGATGCGGATAAAGAGTGCACGCACGTGCAGGCTAAGCAGACGGTGGGGGGGGGCAGGGGGGGGACGGGGGCGGCGCGCCTGGCGTAGACGATGCCGCAGGCCGCCGACGCGGGGCGGCGGCAGGGCGGCGGCGCGGGGTGGCTCTCTCCCTCGCTCGCCCCCCGCCGACCGCACTCGCCGCCGCGACCGACGACGACGCCCCCGACCTCACCCCCTTGCAAGTCCCATGCCCACCGACCTTCCCTCCGCAGCCCACGGATGGGGCCGAGGGGACACTCGAGGGCGGAGCCCCGCCCGCAGGCGGCGTGAGCGGGGCACACTCGTACTCAGGCTGCCACGCAAATTCACCGCCCTCGTCTGGGACGGAAACAAACCTGAGATATTCATTCAGGCGGACAGGCACAGCCTCGGATGAAGGAAGCCGAGGAAAAGACTGGGCTCTCGAAGCCTGGGCCTGGATCTCAGCGGCCACCAGCGACGAGGGGGGTCCACGGTACGACGGATACAGGCCCTTCGCGAGGCGGCTCAGATTCTCCCTCCCTTTGCGGGAAGGAGGAGCACTGGGGATGGCCAGGTTGCGTCCGTCAACCGCAGCCGCGAACCCACAAACAGCACAAAACTTGAGGCCAAAACGGGACCACTCCCTGAGGGCGTGAGAAGGATGCAGGGCCACGCCTCCAACCTTGGTCGCCCCGCACACCGCCAGGAAACCGTCGCCGAGGAAACGGTCACAGAGGCCAGCGGAAGAGGAAGGAGGGTCAGGCCCAGCAGCCGCTGGGCAAGCCGTGGCCGCGAATGCCGGGAGCTCAGTCCGAGGCACGATCTGAGAGCATCCAGAACACATCCAACGATTGCTGCACCGCGACAGGCGGTGCGACGACGAGTTCAGGGCCCGAGCCAGTCTGGACGAAGACTGGGCCCTGGGCCTGGGCACCCTGGGGCCGAATTCAGGAGCAACAGCAACACTATCGATCAAAGCGCGCCGAGCTCTTCTTCGCACTAGCAAGGCAGTGACATCCCAGCGATCCGTGAACGGGATCGGGTGTCTGACCGACGTTTCCCACCCCCTCCTCGCCGCCCACCCCGCCCAGACATCAGCACAAACATTGCCGTGAGAGAGGAAGGCTTGAAAAGGGGAGGTGGTACGCTCAGGCTCAGCTTCCAAGTGGGAAGCAGCCCAGACAACCTCCACGGACCCTGGTCCACGATTTTTGGCCGCCTGCAGGATTCTAACCCAGAGATCAGAATTTCGGCCATAGGGCCACGAAGCGCGGCCAGACCTCCAGCCCTCAACGACAGGCTTGCAATCACAAACATAAACGATATCACCAGACGAATTCTCGAGGCCCAAGGCCAGTGCCAAGAGCTCTGATCGGGGCATAGTCTGTCGTCGCCCTGAGAGACAGGCAGCCACACCGCAGACGGGAAGCCACATAGCATCAGAAGGATCCCCGTCCGAAGTCCGACGCATGACTACCACCGCTGCTCCGCAGCGTCTCCGACGATCGTCTGAGCTGTGCTCTCCCCCTGAGCCGTCCCCAAACAGGTAGAGGGGGGGGGGGGGGGGCGCAGGGGCCGAGAGCTCCTTCAGCAAGCACTGGCCGAAGAAAATAGGGTCGGAAATACCAGGTCCCTCCTGAAACCGAGGAACAGTGAGACTGGCTGCAGGCACACCCCTCAACCACAAGGAAGGGTCGAGGTCAGCATTCGCCAACGCCTGCGGGATGAGTGCGTCCGTAGACGTGCAATCAGGGTGGGGGCAATGTTTCGGACACTCCCAGATGCGGTGGCGCAGCGTCTCAGGGGCAGCTCTGCACCGTGGGCACCGACGATCGACTTGGCACCCAGCATCGTGCTGCCTCTGCTGCGCCCACTGCCCTCCTGCTGTGACCGAAACCGTCGCACCCCACAGGTCCTTGTCACCCTTCCTGGTGAAGGCCTCCAATTCACGCTGAATCCCATGCAGACCCGCTCCATCAGCGAGCCGTTCGCCATCTGGATGCTTGGTGGCCAGCCGCCAGGCAGCAGCACTGCAATCATGTTCAAAGTCCGCCAGGAGCTCACTGAAATCCTCCAGCACGGTGTCGTTGTAGCCATCCTCGCCGAAAGAGAGGAACGTGTAGTCCTCTGGGCCCTCAGCACCTGAGCGCCGCCAACGGGCGGCCTCCAGGGGCACCCAGCCCGCCTGCAACAATGCAGCTTGAAGGGCAGCGATGGGCCCTCGGACACCCCGCCAGCGGACACGATCACCCAGTCCAGCACGAACACGTGGCCAAACTCGAGCAATGCGGCCATGCAAATACGGGTGCGTAACCCACATACGAAACCACTCAGTAAGTACATCCCGCCGAAGCTGCACAGAGGGGTCATTTGTGGCACGCGTAGCCTGCAATACCGTCTGTAAGCATCGCCCCCTCTTGTGGCCAGCAATAGAAATCGACGCTTGCCTGCGCAGCTTGGTAATCATGGAGGGCGGCACTCCATGAGCTTGATGCCCAGATGTAGCAGAGGGAAGCACACCAGCCCTCCACAAGCCACGCGCCACCTTGTGGCTGCCAGCAAGCCGCCGCAGCTTCTGGATCTGGCCCTGTCGCCGTCGAGCGCCAGCTGCGTCAACTCCCAGGTCGACCGCCGAAGAGGCGTGAGTAACAGGAATGCCCATGCTCTTCAAGGAGGTGACGAGAGACAACCCCAACGCGTCATCACTGGCGACAAGCTTCGTCTTGTCAGAGATCGCCAAGCGGTGGTCCTTGAACGCATGAGCCAATGACTGAGCGGCCGTCAACATGTCACCGATGACCGTGGCGCGCGCACCCTCCGTCCTGCATACCGTGTCGTCAATGAATGTCCACAGCCCCGCTCGTGGGCACGCCACATGGGCCTCCTGGAGGGGGCCGTGCAGAATCACCTTGGCCATATCCACTCCACGCGGAGATCCAGCAACAATAGACTTGCCAGGCTCCAGGGCAGAGCTGACCAAGACGCCTCGCTTGATGAGACGAGGTGCCGCATACATACCCACCTCCAGGACAGCGATGATGGCGGGGTAGTGAAGAGAGCGACTGGCCTTCATCAGTAAGACAAAACTGATCGAATCATAGAACTTCTGCAAATCGAGAAAGGGAGTGGCACATGACACGCCCAACTCGCGAGCACATTCATCCAGGATAGCCCTAGCCAGCGCCGCTCGCAGGGCCGAGGACCCCGCGATCGCCGTGTCCCATAAGGCCCCTTGCTTCTCCGTCCAGGAGTAAGACGGCACTGAACGCATGAGCCGCGTGAGGCATCAGACCGAGCACTCTATGGCCGCCCGCCTCCTTTGGAATGGAGGCACCGAGAACCGTCGTGATCTCCACAGGCCACACCCCAGAAAGCTCAATACCATTCAGAAGGTTCAGCAGCGCGCGGCGGCCAATATCTGGCAGTCGCAGCACGTCATTAGGCCCGAGAGCGTCAACTCCTTGAGCCTTGCT